TGATAATTATTATTCTACAGTTATGTTAGTATTGCATAGTCTGCCTTAATTTCTGGCTATTCCACTCCATACTCAGTTTTAATGGATTTCCTTCTGAAATTGGCTAGATCTAGCCTGAAATAGGCTAAGCTGGCTACACTGCCTTCATGCTTTCAATGAATATTTTCTCGGAAACCTAATTTGAAGCATTCATATTTAGCATAGAAACTGAGTCAATTCTAGACTTTTCCATATTATGGTAAACAAAAGACCAGAAGCGAGCTTTGTTCTCCAGATTCCGAGTGTATCCCACACCTTATCAGTTCTATTTCAATTTACCGTAAACTTCCTTAAACTCAAAAATAGCCAAAATTGAAACATAAATTATAACAAATAACTTAAATCTGAAACCGAACTAGTTGGTCGAGTCTGGTTGGGTCTGTCTGATAGTCGGCTCATTTACATAAATATAAATCTAAAGCAGCTTGACAAGTAATAAAATTTGCTCTGCCTTGACTAGTATGTAGATGTGATCACATACATAAATACATATATGTATGTATATAAAGGATACATTTGCATAAATCATAAGCACAATTTAAAATGTCCAAAAAGTTGTATTCTTTTGTGCTGCGCAGCAAATTCTGACATTTGCTAGTATAGGTATATGTAAGTGTATGTGTATGTATATGTATATGCATATGTATATAATACATGTCTGTTCTTTGTTCTTTTTATGATGTTTTACTTTTAGATCCGCCAATTTATAATATATACAAAGCTGGCGAATCATGTGAAAGAGTAATATGAGAAATCGCAAAGCCTATGCCATAATATTTAGTCTATAGGCCATATAATAGATGGCTTTGATTATAATTTTAAAGAGCTGTGCGTGAGGCTCTTTAATTACGCATAGACAGTTATTGATACATTTCTTCCTTGCTGTCATTTAACACCTAAAATGGAAATATTGACGCATGAATTTAAATTAATAAACTTGCTTTTAATTAAACCAGATATTTTAGCTATAATAAAAAGTTACATGTTATTTCCGTAATATAAAAAAAAAAAAAAAAACAAAAACAAAAACAAAGGGTTATCTTCTCTAAAATGTTGCTAATTTATACACATACATAAATACCATAGCTATACATGCATATATATTATATTATTTTATACTATATACAACATTGTCTAGAATCTGGTTAGACATCGCTGTCAATACATCTGGCTTTGGCCCATGTCATGGACATCGGGTGCGTTAATTTGACAAGCCAGTTTTGTAATTAATTTTAATCAATTTTATGCGCACACACGCACATACACAGACACTCTCTGTTTGATCAATCAAATAGAGAAAAAGCTGAGTATTGGCACGTTCTTCGCTCATTTGCATCTTTACATCGCAGTTGGATAACACTCAAGCTTTAATTTCGTTTCATCATAGCAACAGACACATGTTGCAAGCAGCCATGATGCCGCCGAAAACTATTTAGTTTTCTTTCCTCTATCAAGTTTTTGGCATGATTTTTCTGAATTACAATTCAGTTTTTTTATTATTATTATTTTCTTGTCACAATGACTTCTCGAAAATGTCAGCCGATGTCATTGCCTCTGTGCAAAGCAAGTTGCGACCCGAATGGTCAGCATCACAGTGCACAGCGCCGAGCATCGTTCATCTGGTCATCTGATCTCCGTCTAGGTGGAGGTTTCCCCATAAAAAAGAATATCTAATAGGCGGATGCATAAGTGTGTGCTTGTGACGGTCATCCAAGCAATTAGCTTCTTGGGGTGACTTCCTAAAGCCAAACTGTTTACGAGTCTGCCTCATTTAGGAGCATTTGATGGCCCCTGCCATTGCATAGCACTCACTGTGCAGCACGCAATTATGACTGCTAACACACATCGCTGATAGCCACTTTAGCAGATAGATATAAACAGCTTTTAATAATGTCATTCGAACTAGAAGCGTGTACACTGAGAGAATTTCTGGCGACGAAACTATTGACAAATAGCTAAATAGCTGCATAGCATGGCTATTTGCAAATCAATTTGCAGACGGAAGAACGCTTTTCTTGGTTCTTTTTACTCCCTTCTCATTTTGGCTTTCCGACCTACCTCTTCTGTTTTTCTGCTGCATACCTCCCTCTTCCCTCATCACTTCTTACTCAGCATTTGCCTCATTCTTTAGTTTTCTTTTCTCTTCAATCTGCGTTTTTCTCTTCTCTTCTCCCTTTTCCCTTCTCTCTTTCCCTTTTTCCCGTTTTCTTTTATCTCTCCGTCAGAATATTTTCCTCTTCTCTTTTCTGTTCCCTATTTTTTCTACGTATTAATATTTTCTTGCCTCCGCTCTTCTCCGTTCTCTCTTCTCTCAACTCTCTTCCCGTTTACTTTTTTTTTGCCTTCCCTCTTCTCTCATCCCACTTCCTTCTTCCTTCTTCTCACGTCCCCTTGTGTCTGCCCACCTGACTCTTCCTGCTGGGCTTTCTCCCCTCTACTTTCACACTCTTTTTTCTGAGTGTATACTTTTGTTTTCTGTCTCTTATATCTCCCCATTTTCCCTCTTCCCACTTGGGATCATTCTAGACTGTTTTCTCTGATCCTACCCTTTTCTTTTAACCCTTTCTGTTTTAACTTTTCGCTTTTTCGCAATTCTTCAGATTTTCTTTAGTTCTTCCTCATGTCAGCATCCATCAATCTTCCTTAACTCAATCAATTTTTGTTCAGTGTGACACAGAACCAGATCTGAAGAATATTTTGTGTATTAACAAATTGCAGTCGCTCTCTATAATTGATTTTTGCTTAAATCTATATCTGCTTTCACTGGCTGTCGACAAGTGTATTTATTCACTTGTCCACACACAGATCAAACGCCAATTGTTGTCCCGTTTAGCACTTCATTCATGAAAAAGTGATCTAGATACGCGACAAGCGACAAATATTTGAAATATGCAAAGCCGTCGTCAGCTCGATGAGCATCAGTTTCAGATTTTGATGGGCCTCGAGTGTCTTTTTGTTGCTGTTGTCGCGTGGGCAGCAGCCAAAATGGTTCAGCTCGGAGCCGTTTTAACGACACTTTGGCGTGACTGCCGCTTGAGCATGTTTTGGGCATCACAAATTAATAAATGCAGCTTAAAATAATAATGAACAAAAAAAAAAAGAAGAGAATTGGAAACCCGTTTGGCTGCTGCTGTTGCTGCTGCTGCTGCTTCGACTGCTGCTGTCAGCCGCTCGGACGCGCAAAAATGATGCGCCAATGGCTTCAGTTGCACTGGCTCTGGCACTCGCATATCTCGCATTCGCATCTCTGCATCTCCATCTCCATCTGGCTGCATCTTTTTTGTTTTTATTGAAAAACTAAATGTGTACGGGCGATAGTCGAGCGTGTGTGTTTGCTCATGTTGTTGTTGTTTTTTATGTTTTTTTTCATTTTGCGTTTAAAGGTCATTTGGTTATTGGGGCTGCAGCGTCTGTGTGTGCGCCTACCTTAACATTCAGAGCTCAATTCCAAAGTTGGACGACACGACTGACCCGCCATACGCACCAGCAGCACCAGCATCAGCATCATCGCCAGCATCAGCAACCGGTTCATCTTCATCTCTGTTGCTTTAGGCCTAATCTCAGCCACAAACAGCTGTAATCTCTGTGAGCCATGCCTGGCCATGTTTGCACTTAGACAACGCCTGCATGGAATGCAGCAGCAGCAGCAGCAGTGGCAGCGGCAGCTAATTTCATTTGCAACTCAACTAAATAGCTATTTGCCCATTGCTTCGCATCGATTCAAGCCTTGAAAGCGATTGCCAAAATTACAACATCTTCGTCTTCGAATGTTAATCTCGTTTACAAATTAGACTTGGCATGACAATATGTTTAACACACGGCGACCACATTATCCAGGGGCGTTCAAATTACTCAAAGCGAGCACCAACAACAACAGCCAGAAAAAAAAAAAAAAAAAAACTGGAAGCGGATGTTTCTTTGATATTGTTTCACTTTCCAGCTTCGAGGTGTTAACTAAGCTCCATGTTCAGCATCTACACGATTCAAGCAATTGAATATAAAACGAGTTTAGACTATCTCGATTAAATTTCAAGTTCATTAACAACCAAATTTTAAAATTCATTTACATTTCAATATGCTATGAATTGTGTGTGGTTGCTGTCTTTTTAAAGATCTGACGATAACTCAAACTTTCGACTAGAATACCTACGAATTTACATATATCTATTTATATTATATATGTATAGAAAAGATTCTTTTGTTGTAGGAATTTGGGCATATGGCCTCAGTTTTATGGCGTCGATCAATGATTAGTGCGTATGCTAATTTGGTTTTAGCGACGACTTCAGCTTTTCTCACATTAATGGCGGGTCGCAGATTATTATTATATAATCGCGTAGTCTCTGACAAAAAAAAAAAAAAAAAACTAAAGAAACTTAAATCAAAATAGAGAAGAAGAAGAAAAAAAAAGAGTTCAAGCTGAGGAATTGGTCTGGGCTTAGACCCAGTCAATAGTCTTCTAATATATTTGCACAAATAAAAGTAGCTAAATAGAAAAGTCAATATAAAAATCAACAAAATTTTTAGGCATTGTCTCAGGTGCTGATGACGATGCTGATGTTGCTGCTGTGATTTTTTCTATTTTTATTGATTTGCATATTTTAAAATTTAATAAACTATGATTATTATGTTTTAGTGCGTTCAGTTATGTTATGCGACTGTTGAAAGGCAACAACAATAGCATCAAGAGCACCGCTCGCCACAGCGGCTGCGCAGCTGCCGAGCGACTGAGACTCGCGTTCGAATACCTGGCCGAAAACTGGCAACGGGTTGGTCAGTTGTTGGCGTCAGCGTCTTTGTTGGCAGCATCTTCACTCGTTGCGAGTGTTAACAGCTGTCGCCCAGGTCGTCGTCGTCGTCGTCGTCGCCGTCGCAGCAGCAGCAGCAGCAGCAGCAGCAGAAGCGGCAGCAGCAACGGCGACAGCGTTGGATCTGACGCCCCGAGTATATATAAGTAGAGAATCCACAAGTTTTGATGCTTTAGTTGCTAGCCCAGAGTCGACCCAGAAGTTGAGGCAATTTTTTTGCTCGGCATCGATCCAAAATTCAATTCACCATTGAATTTTGATACGATCGACAAACTCAAGGATTATACACGAAACACAATAAACTGTCGGGATATATATTCTCTGTATAAAAAATATATATAAACGTTTTCTGGCTGCCGTCCGTTGCAGTTAAAAGTGCTCAATATGGTAACTAAACCTAGCTCCAATGTGTATTGAAAATAAAAGACAATCGTGATAAAAAGTGTTTAAAAAGAAGTGTTGCTAAAAGCGAAAAGAAAGAAAACACAATCGAACGAACCACAAAAATCAATTATTCGTACTTTGCCTTTGCTATATACTGTATATATACTCTATATAAATTTGTATGTATAACAAGGCAGAGCAGGTGCAGAGCTCTGTTTATCTTACGATCCAAGTGACATTTAGAGTTTATGTATTTAATCGTAATTACACGTCCGGTTGGGCCACATTGTGCCAGTGCTAGTGAGCGAACGGCAATATCTTTAGTCACATTACGCATACGCCCATTGTGCCCACGTGGATAGAGCAACGTGAACGTGGTCTGCACCGTGTGGCATTCTGTGGCAGGCTAGCTCAGCTGTCAGCAATTGCGTCTTTAATCATTAACATGACTTTCAGTTGGCAGCAGAAGCTCTGGCTGGCATCGTTTTAGCCAGGGCTTCTATGTCAACGCAGCGAATGAGATGAAAACTTGTTTGCATCGTTTGCAAATTATCCATACATTTCATGGATTGACATTTGAATTGGCATATTTAGGCAAATGACCATTAAATGTTGCCTTTAGTTATAGCTCGATGTAAAATTCTTGGCTGTGCCATTGAGAGATGATCAACGTCGATCGGCTCATTAACTGCATCAAGTTCGTTGCCTAAGTCTTTCGATTGCAGCATTCAGTTGTACGGCAAAAGATCAAAGACGCGATTGGAAGTGCCAAAGGCAGATTAAAGAGGCCTAAAACCCATAAAGATGATATATTGAGGAGCAATTAGTGCTCATGGAGTAAAAAATAAATCAAAGCAAAAAGAATATTCAAGAATTTTATATTTAAATCCAATTTATATCTAGAGAAATATAACATTTATTCTTTTTGGGCTTAACATTATTTATTATTTAACTTTTCATTTGATTTTCAAATCAATCAGAAGTGGTTCGTGTTTTTCCAATTTGAAAATCACCTAATCCACTTTACATAAATCATCTGAAAAGTCTTCATTAATGGAAACTTGTAGCATTCGCTCACTTTCGTTGATGGCTTGACCTAAATGAGCGTCGTCATTGACGTTTCCGATATGAACGCAAGGTCAGATCGGTTGTAAAACAAATTAATTAACCATAAATTAGCATACTAAATTACAGTCAAATGAAAAACCAAATGAAGAAGAACTAATATGACATAAGGACTCAGTACGTCTAGACTAATAGGTCTTTATGTTCTTAATATCAGAGATAACATCACTTCATTAGGCTTTTTATGAGGTAATCCAAAAAAAAAAAAAAAAAAAAAAAAAGCAAAAACTGGAAGCGGATGTTTCTT